TCTCTCTCTCTCTCTCTCTCTCTCTCTCTCTCTCTCTCTGTATGTGTAGGAATCTAACAAAGTTGAAGATTAAACAAGTCACAACTAGGTATACCCAGAGTGTGGTAGGTACTCGGAAAGAAATTGTTATAAAGAAAGAAATTATTATATGAGGAATATACTTGAACTAAAAGTCTTTCTTCATCTTTGATTTGTGGGAGTGAGAATTCCAAGGAATACTCTTTTCTTGATTTACTTTTGACCCTCAAACCTTTTGGTACTTTTGTAAATAAATTTCTAATCTCTACTAATCTCCTGGGCACAGTCCTAGGTTTATTTACTGACATTTGGCAGCTATGGTTTTCTCTGAAACCAACATAATCCTTTTCCTGGGTTGCTAAGATGACTAGATGAAATATTCTTAATGCACTTGCTCAACATGTTTGTTATGTAATAACATAATTGACAACTATTATTGATTTACTTGTGGCAGGCACAGTATGAAAACTTTATGTTTATTATCTCCTTTATAACTAACTCCAACCAAACAGAATTGATTTGTCATCTGCTCTGTCTACTGACCTTCACGGTTAGGGAACCCCCACTGACCTAAAGCTTAGATTCACCATCTAATTGTTCTCTGTGTTTCCTGTCTTTTCCCACACTTCACTCATCTAATTAGAAGCTTTTTGCTGATTCTAAAAGAAAAGTCTCTTAGCCATTTAATATTTTAAACACTACTATTCCTCCTTAAATCTTTCTGGAGAATGTATGCTACCCATGCATTACTGACCACAGCTTTATTCCCACCACCTCAGCACTTAGAGCGTATCTGGCCCTTTGAAGGCTTTTGCTAATTATGTCTTATATGAATGCATATTGCAGTAAACCTTTGAACGTATTATTTCCATCTTCTAGATGAGGAAATAGACTACCCAAGGGTACACAGTAAGGAGCAGAACCAGGATTCAAATCCAGTCAGTCTCCCTCCGGAGACTGCTTATCATCCACTATGCTACAATACATTACAGTGGTTGAAGGCAATTATTAAGGAACGTGTGATGTTAGGAGAAACTTAAGTTGAAATTCTCCAATCTGAAAATAAAGTTCGCTGCCTCATTACACAGCTTACTAGGCACAGTAGAACCTGGCTTCTTGTCCCAAGTCTCACCTGTCTTTGTTGGCCTTTCCCCCATTTCAGCAACTAGGATTAGCTTCCTTTCCAAGCAAATGCTCCTGCCTCTATCTACAATACTGTCCCTCTTTCATCCCCTCTGGAAAACCTTCTCCAACTTCTCTTTTCTGAGGGATAACAGGGAGTTCTTTATCCCAGAGAGCAGCACTCTGCTAAATTACTTGTTATGTGTTTATTGTCCACTGCTGTGCCCCTTTACCTAAGCAGCGCTTAACTGAACGGCTTCTTCAAATTTTGTTGAATAAAGGTATTAAACAGCAAGGGTGGGGTTCCTGCAGGCGTTAGGAATTAATCCTAGGCCAGGCAGGTGTGCTACCATTTGAGTTCTCCCAGAACAAAAGATCTTTTGATCACTTTACAAGAGGAAAGACTTGCTAGGGTGAAGAACTTGATCCTGAGTTGGTCTATAGGAGTGCGGAGGACACATTTGAGAGCTGCCTGGTACAAACAGCCCCTAGACAACCCTCACTTCCGGTTGCTCCTTCGGGCTTCACTTACGTCAGCGGGCGCCGTCCCATCACTAGTTTGGCCCTCACCCGGACGCCGTAGCGCGTCACCTCCGTCGCCCTGGGAGACGACCCGCGACCTGGGAGCTAGCGGAGTTGTTTCCCGCCGGCGGGAGCTGCCGCTATCGCTGAGGGACGGGCTCCGAGTTGCCGGAATCCCGCGCCGCGCCACTATGGCGGACCAGTTTTATCTGGAGAACATAGACGAGTTCGTCACGGACCAGAACAAGATCGTGAGGCGCTGGGACCGGGGGTGGGGTGGGGTGGGGGCGTGCCGGGAATGCCAGGGGTCCCGGGCCTGCCGGGGCAGCGGGGGTCTCGGCCTCAGGGTTCGCAGCCTCGTGGGGCCCCAGGTCACCACGACGTGCCCGGAGGCGAGCGGGGCTCAGTGGGGAGGTCCTCCCGCGAACCCCGGAGCCTGCCGAGGTGGGCGGGCATGCTGGGCTCCCCGGAGCCTGCCAGGGGCGGTGAGAAGCTAGGGAAGGCCCCCTGCCCATGCCCATGCCACAGCCCCAACAGGCACTGGCTCCAGAGTCTCAAGTTTGCGGTCCCTGGGTACTGACCAGTTGTTTACCACTCCCCCTTCCTCTTCCTGGAAATTTAAATATTGCTAGTGTCTGGACCCGCCTCCCGGGGCTGAAGTGAAGATATAGTGAGACTTGTAAGTGAACGCATTTTGCCAATCCATAGTAAATTGATTGATTGGCTGCCTCCTGTGGCCCCACCTCCTAGGCCCTGCCCGGCTAGCCTCAGGATCCCTAGAAGAGGAATTTGAAGCCCAAAGGCCAAGTAACTTATCAGCAATTAGTAAGGGACCTGGTGTTTCTTGACGCCCAGTTCCTCACACTGGGTCAAGGAAGGATGAAGACTTGATGGCAATTTCCCTATAACCCCTGATACCTCATTCATCCATTTTATTTATTTTCTCCTCCACCACCTGTGCAGCTTAACGTTTATACAGCTGCAAAATTTGCTTAGACGTTTCCGGGTCATATGCTTCCCTGTAATCTAGCTTCTGGGTGAATTTTAGGATAGTTGTAGATAATGGCTCTCCAAAGACAAGATTGTCAGAAAGTAGAAGTAAAACAAAGAATGTGAGGAAAACGACTCTTTTGATATTTATTATAATTGTATAATGTAATATAGGATATTGTATATATAGTTGGCTTGCCTTTGTAGTTTCGTTTTTTTTTTTTTTCCTGCTTTGATCAGTCTATGAAATATCTCAGAGTTTATAAGTATTGTGGTCCTACCTGCCCAGTAGATGGGTGGTTCTTAACTGTGTATGTTGTAATTCAAGGCATAATTATCCAAACATAAGAACCTTTGGCTCTTGGCACTTCTCTGTACTCTGGGGTCCTCTAATAAAAGTCTAAAACTTGCTGCTTCTTCCAGGTAACATACAAGTGGCTGAGCTATACACTAGGGGTTCATGTTAACCAAGCCAAACAGTAAGTATGATTTTCTGCTAATTTTAATGAAGCTGGAG